CATTTTTTACTTTCATATCCCTGATGAAAGGGGATGATTCCCAAACTAGGATACGCAGATGGGTTCTGCTTCAGCCATTTGAACTGTCCTGTTCTTGAGTATTTCAGCCTGAGTTTTGCCACAACTTCAGCACTGTAATGCATCCCTTGGCTGGCATCGCCCTGTCCCCTGTACTGTGGGATGACTGTGCTGTGGTGGGACGTGTTTCCAGTGATTCATCTACCAGACACTGTAATGCATACTATAAGCAGGACTAGAGGGGTTCTGCTTACAGCCGGGGGGAGGTGGGGAAGAAAGGAACAATCCGGTTTACTGGACTGGGTGTATTTAATGGCCTGGCACTTCAGACCCACAAATGTATCAGGCTCTACTGGACACCTCTGCACAGAGTACCCTAATGCCATCAAGCTAAGGAAGAGCCCACCTGTATTTCTGGAGTGACAGGGGGAACCCAATACATAACTGTACTAGAGGCTGAAGTGAATCTAACAGGAAAGGAATGGCCAAAGCACCCCATTGGGACTGGCCCAGAGACTATGTGCATCCTCGACATAGACTGCTTCAGGAGAGGGAATTCAGAGTTCCAAGAGGGCACCACCGGTGGGGCTTTGACAGAGCTGCCTTGGAGATAAAGGACATGAAACAGTTGTCTACCTTGCTTGGCCTTCCACAGAATCCTTCTGTTGTGGATTTGATGAGGGCTGAAGAACAGCACAAACCCTGTGAGGGTTTGTGCAAACCCTGGCACAAACTCTGTAAGTGCCAGGAGCCAAAGGGGCTGTCTCTTGGTGAAGACTGAGCAGAGCAGCTCTGTCGATCAGACCAGTTCTCAGCAGTAAATTGTCACCCCTCTGAGATGCAGGACAATCACTCTCAGATGTTTCCCTGAGAAAAAAAATGTAGATGACTGCTAATCGAGGAGGGCCAAATCAAGCCAGAGTTTGAGAGCTTCTTCTCGTACGGATCTCCTGCCCCAGCAGGAGCAATGTGACTGTGGCAGTGAATGTGGGGTCACTTCTGTCTCTGCACTTGATAGGGCAGCAGCACGAACGTGTCATGGAAAGGGACTGTGAGGTCACTTCTGTCTGTAGATGGCAGGTCAGCCTTGACTTCTCCCTGGGATCTGCACTTTTGGGCTGACATCTGTCAGTGGCCCTGCTAGACCAGCAGAAGGCACCTGTTTGGCATGCTGACTGGGGGATCCCCTCTGCCTCCAGAGCCAGGAGGACCCAGGCAGAAAGAAGGCCCCAACATGGGTTGTCCTGTCCCTTCTGCTTGAGTCCATGACTGGGCAGCAGGAGGCACAAGGCTTGGCTGTGTCTCCACAAGAAGCTGCAAGGCCAGCAGCAGGCCCCTGGCTTGGAAGCTGCTGCTAAGCTGACTTGTTTCTGCTTGGCTGAGAGGCCACAAGGAGCCTGCTGGGTTGGGATGCCTACTTCAGGAGAGGTTTCCTACCTGATGGAGTTTACTTTGGTAGTAGGAAAGAAAAGGAGAGGAGAAACACCCATGAAGCGTGCCCTGGAATGTTGGCACTGTCCATGAGGAGGAAGAAATGTCCAGGGCAACAACTGGTTTTGCTGGTAGAGTCAGAGGTAAAGAAGGCATTAAGTACCTCAGCCTTTACCTTATCTCGAAATCATTACCAGATTTCCCCCCCATCCAATGAAGGATGATGATTCTCCTTAATCCTCCTTTTTTAAAGTATTTCTTTAAGCAGTGTTTGTCTTTGAGAGTCATAGACAGATTGAGTTCCACCTTGGCTTTGGCCCTTCCAATTTTCACCTGCAGAACCTCAAACATTTTGGACACTGCTCCAGACAAACTGGAAGCATGCATGAGAAGGAAGAACAGAAGAGGTGGAAACTGGCAGCATTCCATCCCCTACCTTCTGTGACTCTGTGCTGCAATTCCATTCAATTGGTTACTCCTGTATTATCCAAACTTTCCTGCAGCTCCTGATGCTGCTGTCTGCTCAGAGATAGCACAATGACACGAAGGTTGAACTGTCTGCCTGCAGCCACGAATGGCTGACAGAATGGAGCATCAGTGTGGGGGAATCTTTAGAAACTGCAGGATTTTGCCTAGAGAAACCTCTTGACATTTACAAGAAGAAGAGCCCGGTCGTGCAGCAGAGGAAGAGGAACCCCACACATGGGGGAAGACTGGGACCCTGCTGAGTGAGCAGTGCCCAGAGGAGGAGGGTCTTAGGCACCACGAGGGATGCCATACGAGCAGTGGTGCCTGCTCACCAGGAACCAGGCCAGCTTCCTACAGAGCTGCCTCATGAGATATTTGTGTTCATGGCTAAGTCTGTTGTCTCTGCCACTGAGCCTTATGAGGAGACTGCTAGTCACCAAAGCAACAGAGCCTAATTAACTCCTTGCCACCCATGTAGCAGGCAGGGGTTGTACCATTCTCCTGCACTTGGCCATGCACATCCCCATCTCCTACTGCCCCACAAAGAGCCCTGAGCAAACTGTCAAGGGAAAGGATCTGCTTTCCTGTGGGCCAAGGGACAAGGCCTGACCCTTGTGCTTGGTGAAACACATCAATGTTTCCTCCACATCAGTGTCACCTTCACATTGCCTTTGTCTCCTTGTCCTCACTGCCTCCAGTGTTCGGCTCTAACGATCTCCAAGGGAGGCTGTGTCAGTGCTGGCCCTCAGGGGGACACTGCAGGAAATTTGCCTCTGACTTGGACTTCTGGAGAGATGTCTTCAATTGTCTCTGAGTGCCTGAGGTTTGTGGGCTCATCAGGAAAGCCATCAGAGGGGTGACTGCAATGCCTTGGGCTGGTGCTGTACTGCTGAGCTGAGCTGGGCTCCTGGGACAGAGAGAGCTCGTGTCAAGAGAGCCCTGGTGCAGAGAGCCAGCTCTGCCCAGGAGCAGCTCCTCTGCACAGCGCAGCAGGGCTGGGGGCTCTGACCACAGGCACCCAGGCAAAAGGGATTCCAGGCAGCCTGGAGGGTGCGCACAGAGGAGAGCTCAGTGCAGGAGAAACCTTCACATCTCTGCCCACGGTAAGTCTCTGGCTGCAGGACAGTGCAGGGGAGGTTTGTGGAAGGGGCTTCTGGATGCGGGATGTCTCTGCCTGGCCAGGAGCTGCCAGGATGTCTCTCGTGGCTTGTGCGGTGTGGAGGAGAAGGTTCTGCAGGGCAGCTGCAGGGGTGCCCAGGGCTGTGGTGCAGAGCAGGGTCCCTGCTGTGCCCCAGGGGCTGTGTGCTGGGGCAGAGCCTCTGCTGCCTGCCAGGCTCAGCACTCTGCCTGCCTGGGAAGCCCAGGGGCTTTGGCAGAGGAAGGGTAGGGCAGGGGCTGCCCGCAAAGGGAAGGCTCTTTCTGCACTCTGCCTGCCTCTTCTGCTCTGATTCTGGGGCAGGCTCTGTGTTAACAGAGTGGTTGGATTTGCACAGGTGACTGAGCTTCCTACTGCATTAAACATTGAGACATGCACAGCTTAGTGATGAACCTGAGAATATCCCTTCCCTTCTCTCTGCCTACAGACTGCTCCATGGCATTTCAGAACCGTTCTTTAGGACATGCAGAGAGGAAGATGTCCCCAGAGCTGTCCCCATCCCCAGGAGGTGTCTGCAGGGCAGAGCTGTGCACACAGCAGGTGGAATGGGGTCTGTGAGCATGGACAGGAGGAGACATGGGGACAGAGAAAGAGCTGCCAGCAGGGACAGCTGCAGGCAGCAGGGACATGGGCAGGCAGTGAGAGGGAGCTGCTCCCTTCCTGCCATCCCCTGCAGTGCAGGCACCTTCCTTGCAGCAGCCCCCTGGTCTCCTTCTCTTCCCTCAGAGCTTCTGTCACAGCTTGTATAATATGGGGGGCTGAGAATATGGGATGTATGAACCCTAAATCTCTGTGTAAGTAGTCACATTTGCTTGCAGGCCCCCTCCACCTTCCTCCATGGAAGAAAGCACAGAATCACATGAATCATAGAATATCCCGAGTTGGAAGGGACCCACAAGGATCATTGAAGTCCAGCTCCTGGCTCCACAGAGGTCCTTACCCCCAAATTCCTACCATATGACAAGGAGCATAGTCCAAACACTTCTTATGCTCCAGAGCTCTTGTCCCTCTCCTGGCTGTGCCTGGCACAGGGCTGTGAGGACAGGCTCTACCTTACCAACACCACAGCCTCTGCACTGGGTTGGGTCTGCCCTGCCTGCCCATGCCTGCTTCTCTCCCTTGCCCAGCGTGGCAGCTGGTGGTGTCTAATTTTGACGGGGAGTGCTGTGCATGGCGGGTGAAGCAGGAGGAGATGCTCCCTGTTCTCTCCTGGCCAGATACGCACGATCCACCTGCTGATATTGTCTCCTGGATATTGAACAGGCAAGACGCACACAGAGTCACACAGTCAAACACCCCTCACTCAACAGAGGGAGTCACTTCCCAGGAACCTTTCCTCTTGGAACCTCAAATGGAGCAGAGCAGGCTCACTGGGAGCTCATGGGCAGAGGAGGCTGCAGTGTACAGCACACTCAGGAAACAAAGGGCAGAGCTCCAGTCAGGGAGAGAGAAAAAGATCCTCTTGAAACAGGAAATGTAAGGCATTAATTGGGAATTATCTGAATTTTGCTCAGAGACTTTACTTGTGACGTTCTCTATTTGTTTCTCATTTGGCAGTGTCCATGACAAATGTGTCCAGCAAATGCCCAACATCAGCTCTGTGAGTGAGTTCCTCCTGATGGCATTTGCAGAAACACGGGAGCTGCAGCTCCTTCACTTCGCACTCTTCCTGGGCATCTACCTGGCTGCCCTCCTGGGCAACGGTCTCATCCTCACATCCATAGCCTGTGACCACCGCCTCCACACCCCCATGTACTTCTTCCTCCTCAACCTCGCCCTCCTCGACCTGGGCTGCATCTCCACCACTGTCCCAAAAGCCATGGCCAATTCTCTCTGGGACACCAGGGCCATCTCCTATCAAGGGTGTGCTGCACAGGTTTTTCTGTTTATTTTCTTGTCTGGAGCAGAGGTTTTTCTTCTCACCGCCATGGCCTATGACCGCTATGTTGCCATCTGCAAGCCCCTGCACTACGGGAGCCTCCTGGGCAGCAGAGCTTGTGCCACCATGGCAGCAGCTGCCTGGGGCAGTGGCTTTCTCAATGCTGTCCTGCACACAGCCGCTACATTTTCCCTGCCCCTCTGCCAAGGCAATGCAGTGGAGCAGTTCTTCTGTGAAATTCCCCAGATCCTCAAGCTCTCTTGCTCAGACTCCTACTTAAGGGAAATTGGGTTTATTGTATTTAGCTTTTGTTTAGGTCTTGGCTGTTTTGTTTTCATTGTGGTGTCCTATGTGCAGATCTTCAGGGCTGTGCTGAGGATGCCCTCTGAGCAGGGCCGGCACAAAGCCTTTTCCACATGCCTCCCTCACCTGGCCGTGGTCTCTCTGTATCTCAGCACTATTATGTTTGCTGGCTTGAAGCCCCCTTCCATCTCCTCCCTATACCTGGACTTTGTGGTGGCATTTCTGTACTCAGTGTTACCTCCAGCAGTGAACCCACTCATCTACAGCATGAGGAACCAGGAGCTCAAGCATTCACTGAAGAAGCTGTTTCAGTTGTCTTCTAGAATCAATTAGCTGTTGCTCTGCTTCTCCAATGGGAAAAACTCACCAAAAAAACAGGGTGGGAGACACAGCCTTTCAGTGCCAGGTACCAGGTCCACCAATGCAAACTGTGAGAAACGAAGCAAAAATGTTATTTACAGAAGGAGAGAAGATGAATCTCAGAATGTAGGGCTGCAGATACCTGTGGGCAGTACAGACACTGACATGTGGTCTCAAGGCTCCCTGTGTGGGGAGTAGGAGAAAGAGGCAAGTGCCTGTCCTGTGCCACCTCCCCGCCAGCCCTGCCCTTCCACAGGTGGAGTATTCCTCCCTTACTCAGGCACCAGCAGAGCTTTGCCTCCTCATCCTCCACAGGGAGATGAGCCACAGGCCTAGCTGTGTGTGAGGGGCCAGCAGACCTGAGCAGAAAAAAGCCATTTTCATGGCACTGAGACATCTGAATGGTCCAACCCTTGTCATTGGGTCTGTTCTCTGCAGCAAAAGGCTGTCACCAAATCCCAGGTCTGTGGTTGCTCCTGGAGCTCTGAGGACCTCTTCAAGGCCATCATGGTATCAACGATAAGGACCTATGAGGGTCAGCCCACCCATGGATCGCTGCAGTAGGTTGGTAGGATTCCATAGTTCACAAGGACACCTCCTTGCTCTTTTCATGAATGTCTGTATTACAAATTGCTACAAATCCCTACCTGTAAAGCAACTAAGTATTGCAAGAAACTATTAAGTTACCACTAGGAAAGTAAATATGGGCTTCTGATGCTTTCCCTAAATCTGCACCAATAAATACTATTTGAGGTGCTATTGCTACGACACTCATGAATCCACTTTGTGGAGGGAGCAAGGCATGGCACCTTCCCCTTCTTTCTTTCAGGCCAGTCATGATAGCTCTTGAGAAATGTAAACATCATTGGGTAACCCTAATGATATGCCTCCAGTGTTTTTTGTTTTTTTTTTTTTTCCCCCAATGGTAAACAACTAAACAAAAGGGGTACTAGAGGGCTGTTGGCATAACTGCCTTGAATGCAGTGAACATCAAATACTTGTGTACCTTGCCTGGTCTCGCACAGGACCCTTCTGTTGTGGGGTTGCTGAGAGCCGAAGAGCAGGTGCTGATGGCTGCCACAACAGTGCACCGGCAGCAATAGCACACTGACCTCCAAGTCCTCCAAGCTCAAGAGCTATGTATTCCTGTGAGCAAAATGTCAGACAAAGGGAGCAGGAGACCTGCTTGGATGATCAAGGAGATCCTGGAATGACTGAAATGAAGAAGGAAGTACACATAAAGTGGAAAAGGGGACAAGCCACTTGGGAAGAATGTAGGGACATTGTCCGAGAAAAGGTTTATTTCAAATACATCAAGAGCAGAAGGAAGAGGAAGGAAAATGTGGGCCCACTGCTTAATGAGTTGGGTGCCCTCGTGACAAAGGATACAGAGAAGGCAGAATTACTGAATGCCTTCTTCACTTCAGTCTTCACTGCTAAGAGCGGCCCTCCGGAATCTCTGGCATTAGGAACAAGGGAGGAAATCTGGAGAAATGAGGACTCTCCATTGGTTGAAGAGCATCAGGTCAGAGATGTCTTAGGAAAACTTGACAGCCACAAAGCCATGGACCCCGATGGGATACATTCATGAGTGCTAAGGGAGCTGGCGGATGTTACTGCTGGTCCACTCTCCATCATTTTTGAAAGGTCATGGAGAACAGGAGAGCTGCCTCAAGACTGGAAGAAAGCTCATGTCATGCCAGTCTTCAACAAGGGCTAGAAGGAGGTCCCAGGTAACTACAGGCCGGTCAGCCTCACCTCCATCCCTGGAAAGGCAATGGAACAGCTCATCCTGGAGGTCATCTCCAGCATATGGAAAAGAAGAAGGTGATCAGGAGTAGTCAGCATGGGTTCATCAAGGGAAACCATGCTTCACCAACTTGATAGGCTTCTATGATGGAATGACTAGCTGAGTGGGTGAGGGGAGAGCAGCAGATGTTGTCTACTTTGACTTCAGCAAGGCTTTCAGCACTGTCTCCCATAACATCCTCATAGGCTAGCTCAGGAAGTGTGAGATGGAGGAGTGGTCGGTGAGGTGGGATGTGAGCTGGCTGGATGGCAGAGTTCAGAGGGTTGTGCTTAGTGGAACAGGGTCTAGTTGAAGGCCTGCAGCCAGCAGTGTCTCCCCGGGACCTACACTGAGTCCAGTCCTGTTCAGCTTATTTGTCAATGACCTGGATGATGGAATAGAGTGCACCCTTGTTCTGGTTTCAGTTAGGACAGAGTTCATTTTCCTCCTAGTAGGTGGAAGGGTGCTATGTTTTGGATTAGGATGAGAAGAGTGCTGAGAAAAGCAATCAGCAAGTGTAAAGATGTGCTGTTTTGTGTCAAAGTGCTCTGTTTTGAGTCAAAGCTCTCCTCAGGCTCTCCTCAAAGCTCAACTCAAGCTCTCCTGCTCAGATCCCTACCTCAGGGAAGTTGGGGTACTTGCGTTCAGTGTCTGTTTAGCATTTGGATGTTTTGTTTTCTTTGTGCTCTGTCCTATGTGCAGGTCGTCAGGGCTGTGCTGAGGATGCCCTCTGAGCAGGGCTGGCACAAAGCCTTTTCCACATGCCTCCCTCCCTTACCTGGCCATAGTCTCTCTGCATAGCATCACTGCCATGGTTGCCTACCTGAAGCCTCCCTCCACCAACTCGCTATCCCTGGGCCTGGCGGTTTCAGTTCTATACTCGGTGTTGCCTCCAGCAGCGAAACCCTCATCTACAGTATGGGGAACAAGGAGCTAAAGGAGGCACTGAGGATGTTATTCTAATCTACAGTATTTCCCCATCAATGAGGTATCCGCACATCTTCCTCACATATACCTGGGCAAGGCAGAAACAGCTTTGTTCATGTATTTCAAAACTGCTTTTCATTCTTTGCAATACTAGTCCAATAAAAATATTTTTCTTCATCTCAATTCTTCTACCTTTTTTTGTTGTTTTCATTGTTGTTTTTTTAACCCAAAGACCTCATTTACAGGCGCTGGTAAGCTCTTGGTAATTAACCAAATAAAATAACCAGCAGGTAGTCATTTTCTGTGAGTCTTGTTTCTCATAATTTCTCTTCAGGTAGAGCAGAGGTTGTGGACTGAAGAGCCCAGCTGCAATGTGGGGGAAAAGCAGAGATGTGGCTGAGGGACTCAATGTTTTTTTTTCTACAGTACACTGTACCAAAAAGTTCTCCTAGGCCTCTGTATTCAGTAAAAGAGATAAAGGATGAGAAGAGCATGTACTAAGAGGAATGCCATAAAAAGCCACCAAGACAAGGGCCATTTTCTGCCCCGGCAGGGGACTAACACTGGGCAAGGCCCAGCTTGGGAAGCAGCCCTGTCGGAGGTTCTTGGTGGGCAGAGCTGGGCAGGAGGCAACCGTGTGCCCTGGCAGCACAGGCTGAGGGGCACCTCACTGCAGCCTGTCAGGAGCTGCAAGGCGCTCATGGAGCGTCCAGGGCCAGGATCTGCCCCGTGGCAACGGGCCCAGCCTGCCCTCATCCTGCCTTACTGCATGGGGCCCCTGCATGGGGCTCTGCCACCCGCCTCGCCCCAGCCCCCTCCAGCACCCTCCTTGCTGCTCTCTGATGCACACCAGCACCTCCTCATGGGTGCCGGCCAGCATATCTGCTGAGAGCCAGGGCGGCTCCTGCAGGGGCAGGGAGCCATTCCTTCTAACTGTGAAGGAATGGCAAAAGCACCCCATTGAGACTGGCCTGGAGGCTATGTGCATTCTCAGAATAGACTGCTTCAGGAGAGGGAACTTCAAAGTTCCAAGAGGGCACTACCGCTGGGGCTTTGGCATACCTGCCTTTGAGATGGAGGATCTTAAACAGTTGTCTACCTTGCATGGTCTTCCACAGAATCCTTCTGTTGTAGGTTTGCTGAGGGTTGAAGAGCAGCAGGTGCCAATGGCTACCATGGTGGCGCACCTGAGGCAGTGTTGCGCTAACAAAGACTCCCTGATTGCCATCCATGAGCTGATTCATTGATTGGAGAGCCAAGGTATAGCTGTAGAACTTGGTAGCATGGTTTAGCGATGGACTTGTCAGTACTAAGGTAAAAATGCATGACCTGGGTTACACATCCTTAAGTAGTGTAAGGCACAATGCAATTCTTTTTGCCTTCTGCATCTATAGCACTGGAAGCATGACTTTGCCCTACTCTGTTGACTGGGCAGGTCTTTTCACATTACTCAATTTAGGTTTCTGTGGCTCAAAGGAGATGATTTCCCCAAAGAGTACCCATGATTTCTCATGGGTACAGCTACAGTCACTTGGAGAAATAATTTCTTTACTTTTCTTCCTGAGTTTTCCACAGAAGACTCATGAGAGACCATGAATGTCCAGGTGTCTACTAAGATTTCTAAAAAAAATTTCTCAGATTCCAACAGTTATTTCAATTCTATTATTTTATTGTTTAATTTAATTTAATTTAATTTGATTTAATTTTATTTATTTTAATTTATTTTATTATTTATTTTGTTCCCAAAGTACAACTAACTTTTCTTAGAAAGGGTTTCATGTGCTGGGCTGGGCTGCAGTTACAGGGACAAAGACCACTGCTGGCAGTGGAGGTCTCAGACCTCCAGACTCTGCTTTTCCTCCTGATGGAGGTCTCCAAAGAAGTCACCCTGGATGAACAGCAATAGAAGAATAATGTTCAAAACTGAAATGCAGCAAAATTCAGACTTTGAAACAAGAAGTTTTTGATTAGGTGCTTTTTGAAATCTTCTTCCTTAACTACATCATGCAAGCTCTGCAATTAGCTGAACAAATCTTGAAGTCTTTAAGAAAACTATGCAAGAGATGTTAGGAGCTTCTTCATTTTTATGAGGTCCATGGTGTATTTTGGTGCTCAGTCTACGAAGCTCACGTACTGAGAAGAGAGTGATGTAACCGCTTGAGCAAGTCAAGTCAGGAGGCACAAAATTTGAAGTGACTTGGAGTATTAATGGGCCCCACTGAGGGCTGTTACTAACGAAGACTCCCCAGGGCCTTGC